AAAATTAATCACCTCATTGATAATTAGGAAATGATCTACATAAAAATTGACCAATCATACAAATGTCTGCCATGCTGGTGTTCACTCATTAGTTTCCTGTTACATATGCGTTAAACTCAAATTTAAGTGGAGTTGAGAAGGCCGAAATGGTAACACAATACTATTTATACATGTAATTCAAATAAAGTGTTGGAGTTGTAATATTTAAATACGTTCTTACTTTGTCAATAATATTTCGAGATGTCAAATGAGAAAAGAAGAGTATATGAAGAAGGAACTGTAGTTATTAAACAAAATATCATCATTGATAGATCTATATTTAATTATAAATTTTAACATTTACTTCTACCTTATAAAGCAAGACGCAAGTTTCCGCCGAACATGGGATAAAGAAGAATTTAAACGTAGAGCTCGTGAAAGATCGCGATTAGAACGTGAAAAGGAGGAGGAAGAAGATCGTAAACGTAAAGGTTTAAAATCCAAGAATACTGATAGTTCTGAAGTTGAACCTGTACGAGAACTATTAAGAGCTCGTACAGAGAAAGTTGTATTAGATGCAAACTTGAATAAAGTTCAGGTAGTGCAATCTACAAATATTGCTTCAAAACAACCTGGGTTTCATTGTAAAATATGTGATTGTGTTGTTAAAGACAGCGTAAATTTTCTTGATCATATCAATGGCAAAAAACGCAAGTATATATAATATATATGTGTTTGTGTATGTAAATTGATAAGTATGAATCAATTTATAATTTTTATTAATTACATTTTTAGATCAACGAGCTCTTGGTATGTCTATGAAAGTTGAACGTAGTACATTAGATCAAGTCAAGAATAAATTAGAAAACTTGAAAAAGAAGAGCGAGCCACAAGAATATGGTTACGAATTATTATAATATTTTCTCTTAGATTGTAAATGTTGAAAAATTATTGACTCGATCCTTATTAAATATAGATCTCGACGCAAGAGTTGAACAATTACAAAAACAGGAGGAAGAAGAAAAAAGACGAAGGAAAGAACGTAAAAAAGCCAAGAAAAGAGGTGAATCAATTCAAAATACTGTCAGGGAGGAAGATAGTCCGGAAGAAGAAGTCAATCCCGAGATGGCGGAGTTTATGGGGTATCATCATTTTTTTTGTTTGTTTATAAAAAAAATTGTAGTTTTTCTCGTTATTTTGGTGTTAAATAAATTTGTTTTTTTATAGGTTTGTTGGTTTTGGCTCTACCAAATCTTGAAGGACTTACTAAACTACTAACAGACAGGTTTGTTCATTATTTCAACATAGAAATTATTTATATTAATTAAATTAATTTCTTTAATAATTTGACATTTGTATTTGCATGAAATTAAATAAATATTTCTAATATTACAAAAATTATATTAAAAAATATAAAGATTTCTCGATTCAAATTCTTATTTAGGAAAAATTCGTAAGTGAATATGACTTTTGTGTGTTAATATTAACTATTTATTATTTAGAGTCTTTAAATTTAAAAATTATGGACGTATTTACAATTTCATTTATATTCACAAATTGGTTAGATTATGATATCTTTGATCCCCGAGAGTGTGAATAAATCATAATAAGTACCATGGAATAAATACGTCCATAATTTTTTTTATTAATATAGTTTAGAAAGGTAAGTTAAAATAAAATAGATATATAAGTTTAAAATTTCATTAAGGCCTTGTTCAATTCCGATAGCATAATTTTGGGGATAAATTTTAGCCATCTATCGGAATCGATCTAGTGATGTAAAATGCATGACTGTCACGTGCCTCTTTCAGCAATCATATTTTAAATAAATCACATGAGATTAATAATTTTATGGATCCATCCAACCATTCATTCAATAATTTATTCTTCGTGTCATTCTAGACATTCGTTTTTTTTTAAATTCTTGTATAAATTATACTATCAACAATTACTAGAATGATATCGAAATTATCGAAACAGATTTTTATTTCAATCTACACATTTAGGATATTTATGTACATTTTGATTTAACAAAGACGGTTTAATAATTAAACAGTCTTTGAATTACTTTCATCATCATGGATTTTTATATATCAATAAATCCATCCCCCTCTCTCAAAAAAAAATATATAGTATATATTTTCTGCCAAGTTTCTTTGTTTTTATAAAAAAATAAAAATAAATGATAAGATATTATATGAAATAAATGAATTATAAATCATACCGCGTATCCCTTTACTTGATTCCTTTACCCTATGACAAATCATCAATATAATGTATTTACTTCATAAAAAATGAAGGGTCAAATAAAATGACAAGATTCAATATATACATTTATACTTTACTTATAGATCAAAATGTATAGAATGATGACAGATGATGGTTGGGTTCAATTTCGGTTCTTCTCTTATGACATCGATTTGATAATGATTGGAATTTTGGCCATAAAAGGATATTCCTTATTGAGGTAGATAATCAATAATAAATATAAAGTGATCGGAAACTTTAAACATCATTATTGGCTGAAATTCTTCATTGGAGAAATATTGTTCAAGAAACTATTTTAAACATACAAGAACAAGTATCTTTAAAATTCTTAGCAAGAAACAATGCCCATTTTACCAACTACCTCACCGCGTTCTACATTTCATTCAGATAGTCAACATAAAAGAAGACGATCAACTTATTGGTCGTCTTCCATCCCATTGTTTTTACGACGGTTATTTAGATTTCCACAAATGGTATTTACGAATCGTTTTACGTTTTGATATTAACGATTTTGCCTTATGGTGTTTTTGACCTGTAATATGCTCATTATGATCTACATAGGATTTTGAATTTGCACTATGGCAAATGCTTTATTTATGTATAGCTCCTAGAAGAGTGTAAGCATGGTATTTCTTACATCTTTTCTAGCTATTTGCTAATCACACGTTAACATTTGATTTATTCTAATAGATATCGAAATATTTATTATCATAAACGTAAGAATTAAAAAAAAAAATTTTTCCAAGAAACCGATTTGATCTATTTTACTAATATTTATTTGATTTAATTAATAGAAACTAAAAATCAATGGGCAAGGGATGACCCAGCTTATGTTGTGATATTATCATTTTTCTTAGGGGGTATATAATCGATTTTATCATATCTTATTTTTAAATGATTAGATCTTATTCTCATATTATCTGTTTATATAGTATCAGCGATTGCATGGGGATTAGTATATGGACATGGGCTGATAGGGATCCTTAAAATGATTTCATTTATGGTATTTGTAGATTTTGTAGTAGTTGGGATGATAATCTCTACAATTTGTTGGTATGTAAAACTTATTTTATGCCCCCTTTTTTTAACAAAAGAGAAAAAAAAATGGATACAGAATTTAATAATAAATTTCTTTACAATTAAGGACATTTGCAAATAGATTTTTAACGCATAGACATACACTTCATGCAGTTGAGCAAAAAGTAGAATGGGCCTATGCATTTGATGTACATTGTAATTCATTTTTTCCTTTATTCCTAATATTATACGTAGCTCAATTTTTTTTGATGAGAGTTTTGATAAAAGATATTTGGATTTGTTTATTTCTTGGAAATACGATGTATTTAATTGCAATAGGTTATTATTGTTATATTACTTTCTTAGGTTATAATGGTAAGTTATTATTTAAAAACGCCTTTAAAATATCTTTTAATATATATAAGAAAACATTAACCTTTGTTTTTATTTAATGTATAGCATTACCATTCCTTTTACATACTGAAATGTTTTTATATCCAGTTGCTTTATTCCTTATTGTTTATGTTATCTCATTATTTGGTTTTCATATTAGTGCCAATGTATTACAATTATATTTCGGTAGATGATCTTATCTCCCAAACTTTTTTTTCTTTTTTTCTTTTGTATAAAGTAATTTAGTGGAGATGTAAGATCAAATATTATTAGGTAATATTTAGTATTTTTGATTTAATTAATATTATAAAAAATTTTACGTTAATAGAATTCTTAATAGTATATATGTTAATTTTTTTAAAAAAAAAAAAAAAAAAAAAGGTTTTATTGAAGAACATTTGTTTTATATTTCTTTTAAAATATGTAAATATTTTTAATAAATTAAAATACTAAATTATTTATTAAAGGAACATTTAACAATAAAATAAAATTGAATCGAATTGAGTGTATTTATCAGGTCTAGAATTTTCCAAGTAAAGTTACTAATAATAATAATAATAATAATTCCAAAATACGTATTATTATTTGACATAATTAGAAATAGAATAATCGCAGAATTGTGCATGGAAGCCACAATTGATTTCCTATACAAACAAAAAGTAAGATCAGTCAATGACTTAATTTTGGTTGAAATATTTCAACAATAATTAATAATGAATATCTGGAACTATTTAGCACTGAATTTTCAAGGAAAAATTCAAAGGCCTTACGATATAGCTGGCAATTTCAAGAAATATACTGTGAGTGTTTTATGTGTTCTTTTTCGCACTATTAAAGTATAATAATAATAATAATTTTGTTATTTTATCAATCAACATTAAACTAATTTACTAGTTTTCGAGACTCGGTTCTGATCAATTTCATAAAAATCACGCAAATGATAAATAGTTTCATTACCTCTGTGGTTGGTAAGCCGTTTTGTAAGTTGATTATGATAGTTAATCTCTTGTTAGGTGGTACAAGTAGCATCTTACATACTTGCAAAAGATAAATCAACCTTCTCTTCTTTATAAGCAAAATAACCCTCATAAGGAGATTTCTAAATTATTCTTCTTATATTTGAACATTTGTGGATTCATTGAGTTCCTATGCCTAATTATTTGGATGTTCCTGACATAGTTCATTGTGTCTTCTTACTTCCAATGCCCGTTAATTTGAATGTGCCTAACATGTTTTTATTCTCTTTTTACTACCCATGCCTGAACATTTTGACGTGATTTCATTGTCAAGTGGCTACTAGAGAAAAAATATTTATCCAGTATCGTCAACACCTTAATAAATAAAATTTCACCTCGCTTGTCTGGAGGAGATATTTTACGGTTGTGAAGAAAAATATTTCACCACAAAAATAAGGAAAAAAACATACAGAAATTGATGAAATCATGCGCGCGCGATGGCACAATAATAAACCCCTCAAAAAAGCGCGATTATATTATGTGAAATTCGACACATGTCCGTTTTATTGGTACAACAAATAAAGGATAAAATAATAAATAAATTATATATTGTACAAGGAAGAAAAATATGTATAAAACAAAAAAAGAATCTATATTCCACATATGATACAAAAATTATGTACAAGAAATAAAAATATATACAAGGATACAAATAGTAGAAAATTAAATTAAAGGAAATAAAATACAAGAAAAAAAAATAGTTAAAAAGAAAGAAATCAAAAAATATTTACAAGAAAAATTAAATCCATTTTTATTAAGTTGAACAGCGACGAAGTCTATAAGATCTTTACAAATATTCGCTTTATCCGTGAGGATAATACCATATACCGACGTTCTAACTGCCTCTAGTGCTCCAGGCGTGAAATTATTTTTGAAAGGTCCTGCCACGACACCAATAGTCCCACTTGGTTGTCGGGTAAGTGCACCCTCTAGTTCGTAAATAATGGGGCGACCTTTATCAAATAATGTTGATTACTACATGTTCAACCTAAGTAATAATTATATATACATAATTGTGTATGATACCTATTTGACGTGTCCAATTTTTACATTGGATCACGAATTTGATCCCAGCGATTTTTGCTTCGATGTCAACTCCTTTATCACCGGGACCACTAGATAAATTAAATGATGAATTTTGAGTACATGCGTCATAATCGTCAAGAACCAAGAAGAACGTTCGCAGTCTTTTGTGACTGCGGCCACGAAGTGCTTTCGATTCGTTGATTCGTATATCCTATTCACCACAAATCCCAATCGCATAAGATTGCGAAGATGTCAGAAACTGGGAAGAACGTTCACGATCAAAGAACCGTGGCCACGAAGAGCTTTCAATTCCCAGAAAATTTTACAACTAGTGGCAGCGTATCTTCAGATACACAACGATTCAGCAAGTAACTCAGTGATATACTCACCCTGTCCACTCGCACTCGATTCCGATTTCTCCAAACTTTGCAACGAATTCTAATTCGAAATTTCTTCCTCTAGCGACAACTGACGACATATTATTTTTTAAAATAATTTTAAAATGAAAATCTTGATTGACACATTTTTCATGTTCATACCATTTTTTTTTTTTTTTTGTAATAAGACTTTGCAAAGTTACACCAAAAGTTCAATTTGATGCTGCGTAGAATTATAATCCCCGGACTAAAAATGTCGATCACAGATCTTAACCTGTTCCAGGGGTTTATGGGTCACTGTTTCTATATCTTTTATATCTTAAAAAAAAAGTACCGTAAACGGTTGACTAAAGTACCCCTACCCTCCCCATAAATCTGATTTAAAAGACCCGGGTATTATACATAAGGACATCGAAAAAAAAAGTTGCGAAAATTTGTATAATACTCGGGGTATTATACACCAATTGTTTTTTTATATAGCATTTATATGAATCGTAAAAAATATCAAAATTTATTATAAAATC